GTGATTTATAACATTCATTCATGCTTTGCACCATCATTTATATGTTTATTCCACTTTTTCCACAAATTTAGCTCATTTTTTTAATCTACTTTTATTTTATTCTACCATGTAAGGACACAGTATGTTTTAGTTATGTATAAATACTATATATTATGTATTATATGAGCATCTGTGACACAAAAACTTTCTTTTTTAATCTCATTTTATAACATTATCTTACTTATGATCATATCTAACTTGTTTGGGGGGGGCACACATTTTGGTTAACATGCAACAAACAATATGTGGCCATTAGAAAACATCTGCACTGACAATAAAGATAAAATCCATAATTAGGCGACTGAATCTGCGCATTTAATTTAATGTAACACCTGTTAAGAAGGACAAAGACGGGGAGGGGAAGGTGGGTGACCGTAATCCTACCTTTGGGAAAGGAGTTAGGTTGAACAGCGTAGAGAAAAGCATGGACCATGTGGAAGAGGATCCCCACGGCCCCTGGCTCGTAGTAAGCGTGGGTATCATAAACCGCCGCCGGCACAAACCCAAAATCCAGCGGCTCCACCGGCGGAGGGGACCGCTGCCGGCGGGAGTCCGCCCGGAGCTCAGCCGGAGCTCGGTCCCTCTCATCCGGCTGCTGCTCGCCGCTTGTGGCCCCCCAGCAGAGCAGCAGGACGAGCCACCGTGTCCACAACATGGCTCAGAAAAGTCCAGCTTTGTACCAAAACTTAAAAAAATAAATAAAATAACTTTAATAACTCCAAGCCCCAGTCGCACTACAGTCTACCGGGGGGGTGCAGAGGGGGAGAGGACACCTGTCCCTCTGTCGGTGGTTTAATCCCCGCAGCGCACAAACAACCGACCGGAGGGGAACTTTTGAATTTAACATCCAACAGCCTTTAGCTCCTCGTCTGGACTCATCACGGACATCTTCCCCCTTTTCTCTCTCTCTCTCTCTGTCTCTTTGGACGACGGCTCAGAGGTCTTACCAGCCGAGGATGTGGTCGTTATCTCGGTGTCTCTCTCACCGGCCGGTCGCCTAATCTCGCGTGCACGTAAACAAAAAAATACCAAGAAGAACGCGCGTGACCGTTGAAAACTCACCGGGAGCGTCTGTGGCGCGCGACACCGCGAGGTCCAATCACCTGTGCAGGTCTCTCTCTCTCTCTCTCTGTCTCTCTCCCTCTCTCTCCCTCTCTCAATCTCTCT